GGCTGCGGCGGAGACCCGCCTTTTTGCCCACACGGCGGAGGAGGAGGAGGAGGAGGAGGAGGAGGAGGAGGAGGAGGAAGAGGAGGAAGAGGAGGAAGAGGAGGAAGCGTAGAGGCGGAGGAGGAGGAGGAGGCGGAGGAGGAAGGTTCGGTCGCAGATCATGGCGGCGTCGCGTGCCATCAGCAGCGATGTTGCCGCCGTCCCTCCTCGGTTCCCTTTTCCTCCTCCTCCTCCTCCTCCTCCTCCTCCTCCTCCGCCGCCTCCTCCTCCTCCTCCCTGATTTCACCGTGTTTCGCACGCGTGCGCTTCTGCGGGCGCCTCGGCGACCCTGCCGCCGCGCCTTCACGGCGCCACGCGCGCGCAGCCGTGGCCGCAATTCCACGCTTAGATGCACTCGCGTCGACTAGCGTCTGGTAGTAGAGGGGAGAGCGCTGATTTAGCGTCGGCTAGAGTCGAGTAGCGTCGATTGGCGTCGGTGTTGCATCGACTAGCGTCGACCAGCGTCGATTCTCAAGGGCCAACAAGGTGGTATGAGGCCCCATGAATTGGCACCGAAGGGAGAGGATGACCCGCACCCCCTCGCGACGTGACAAAATCCCGACGGAAGGTTTCTCGCTATGTTTGGCCCCCGATGGGGCCCCCACCAGGCCTCGGGAGCGCCAAAAAAGCCGGGAGCCTTCTGGGGGGGGCCCTGGAGCGTCCCACACGGCCGCCAGAGACGCAGAGGCGACGACAGGGGCGAATAGCCCAGGGGGGGAGCAGTGCATGTCTCCAGGGGGGCCGAGGATCCGTGTCCTCGGCGAGGCTCCCCAGCGAGCGCGTGCAGTGGGTGCTTGGGGTGATCGGGCAGTGCCAAGGAGGGCCACCAGCAGGGAGTCCATCTCGATCCCATCGATCTGGTTCGGTGTCGGTTCTGGCCAGCCCGATCCGATCTGGTTCCAATGTTCCGATGGTCCGATGCGGTCCGTTGTTGGCACGACGTTGTTGTGCATCTTGGCGCAACCGATCCGATTCGCTTGCTGCTGCTCCTCGGTGGTGCCCATGTTGGCCATCATGGGCCTTTTCCTTTCAAACCGTCATGCTTCGGGCCAGAGGTCTGCCCCCGGCGAGGTCGCAGGTGATTGCCCATGGTGGCAGCACGCAGATCCTTTCCATGCCGTTCCAAGCATGTAGCACAGCGCTGCCGCACATGAAGCAACGCTCTGGATCGCAATCGTCCCGCGTTCTGTTCCGTTCTCTCCTCCTGTGCTCCTCCTCCTGATCAGGCTTGGGATCTGAGGAGGGAGAGACCGAGGGAGGGGGGGAACTGGAAGCGGAACGGAAAAGGGGAGGGGGAGGGGGCGATGGCAAGCTAGGTGCGCTCGCGTCATATCTGATGTCTTACCCTTCCCTCCCATCCCTTACCATGGCGTAAAACTCCTCTCTATTCACACAGACGGATGTCGTAGCAGGGCGTAGAACTACATGGCATAGCATGGTGTTGAAGATCAACGCGTATCCTGACATAGCATGGCGTGGTGACACCCCAAAGTGGGGGCTTCTGCGGCCCAACAAATCATCGAATCGACACCGAATGTGTAATCACTTCCGATGGTTGTTTCGTGGGGGCATTTTTCTAGATTTTGGGGCCTCTTTGGAAGGACCAGCAATCATGCCGTAGCATGGCGCTGCAAATAATGACGCCACCGCTGCAGCGGGAGCACGATTCGGAACGACCAGAAGCGTGGAAATGAGGCCAGCGCGGCAGTGGGAGCACGATTCGTAGAAGGCGTAGCATGACATAGCATGGCATGGCGACGCCCCAAAGTGGTGGGAGGGCTTCTGCGACACTAAAATCCAACGAATCGACACCGAATGTGTAATGACTTCTGATGCTTTTGTTCGGGGGGGCATTTTTCTAGATTTTAGGGCCTGCTTGGAAGGACCGGAAATCATGCCGTGGCATGGCACTGGAAATAATGACGCCAGCGCTGCATCGGAGCACGATTCGGAACGAGCGGAAGCGCGGAAATGAGGCCAGCGCGGCAGTGGGAGCACGATTCGGAACGAGCGGTAGCCCGAAAATGAGGCCAGCGCTTCAGCGAGAGCAGCATTTGGAAAACAAAAACACAAGCGGAAACCCATTTCCCGGGAATCCTGTGTAAAAACGAATTCGCGGAGGGGGCCCGAACATTTCCCGGACGCCACCAGGGGATAGAGGAGAGTAGCATTCATATTGTCTATTTTTAGAAGGTGAAGGGCCAGGGAAAGCGGAGCAAGGAGCTGAATGAGAAGGGGAATGGGACAGAGAGGGGGGAAGCGAATCGGCATGGGGCGAAAATGGACATGGGGGAGGAATGCCAGTCTGGGTGAGCACGTCATGGTTGCACCCTGGTGGGACATTCTCGGCGCTCCACTGCGCAAGGGCGACAGCGACACCGTCATTAGCTATAAGCCATGACCTATCATCTGAGGGGGAGGGCGGGGGCGGGTGGGCGTTGTCACTGCGTGGATCACGAACGCAGGGGACTACGGCCAGGGATTGTTGGTTAGCGTGTCGCGCCGCCGGTTCTGGCCTCGCGGAGGCAAGGAGAGGCGGAGGAGGAGGAGGAGGAGGCGGAGGAGGAGGCGGAGGAGGAGGCGGAAGAGGAGAAGGGGAGGAGGAGGAGGAGGAGGCGGAGGAGGAGGGGAAGGAGGAGGAGGAGGAGGAGGAGAAAGGAGGAGGAGGAGGAGGAGGAGGAGGAGGAGGAGGAGGTTGGGTACGCCCGAGGAGGAGGAGGAGTAGGAGGAGGACCGAATGTCAGCGTGCCGAGCCTTTAGAGGCTTCACGCCCTATTGCTCGGAGCGACACGCCAGCAGCTCGCAGGGCAAAGAGGCGCGTCGCCAGGGCCGCCCCCGCCACACGCGGAGCAAAAGTTCCTCCGGTGGTCGCTTTCTTATTCGCTGTTCTAGCTGCCGATCGGCGCGGGCCCTCGCACCCCCTCCCTCCCCCCCCCCGTGGAGTAGATCTTGGCTGTTTTGTCGCGCCTCTTTCGAGTAGGTGGAGTCCCCCCCCATACGACGCACTGCTGCAAGCAGTCGCACTTGGCAGAGGTCTGGAGCCAGACCCCCCCCCCCCTCCCCCCCCCTTCCTGCCAATGTCGAAACGCCGTATATATATAATATATATATATATTATATAATATAAAAAAAAAAAAAAAAAAAAAAAAAAAAAAAAAAAAAAAAAAAAAAAAAAAAAAAAAAAAAAAAAAAAAACGCTCACCCGGCCGTAGCTCAGAGGAGGAAAAGGTACCCGTACCACTACCGCTGCCCTTCTCTCGTTCTCCCCTTTTTGGGCCTCCTGGGAGGCCCCCCCTCGTCGCCACCGCTGGATTCGCTTCGACGCCCTGGTCAGAGCGCACCCCGGGAGAGGTCCGGGGAGCAGCGGCATTGTCAGGAGGGAAAGTAACACACAGACACAGTGAATCGTGGACTTCCAGGAAAACATAGGAAAATATAGGGGATTCTGGGGGGGGGAGACAGACACCCCGAAAACATGGGAAAATATGGGGAGTCCTGTCATTTGTGTGTACTTATACCCGTGTGTCCCAGGGCCCCTTTCAGAGTAGCGGTCTTGGCACGTCTCTTGGTGTCCCCCGTGGCCGCCACGAGGCCGCCACGGCGCTCCGGGGCGCGCAGCTCCAGCGCGGAGCGCCAGCGGGCACCGCTTGCTGCCCTGCACGGCGGGCGGGCGCCGGCCACGCCACGCTCCGGAGGCAGCTCATTCTCTTGCACGGCTGTGCTCCAGAGCTCGGACACCTTCATTTTCGTCGTGGTTCGTGGTTCGTGGTGCTTCGTCCCCCTCGGCCCCTCCCCTGAGCCTGAGCCCCTGCTCCCCTGGGCCACCCACGCTCTGGAGGCTTGCTCCGCCAAGGCTTCCCGGAGGCAGCTCATTCTGCGCCGGCGGCGCGCGCGCGCTGCTCTCGGCGAGATGAGGTCTAGGGGCGCAGTCGTGGGAGAAGGGCTCCCACGAGGGCGCGAAGCTGTTCGCGCCTCGCGGTCCTCGCGGTCCTCGCTCCTTCTCCCTCCCCCTCCTTGTCCTCCTTTTCTCCCTTTGGGGGGGGGGGCGGCGCGAGAGCGCGAAGGCCTTCGCGCTCTCGCGCAGCGCGGAGCGAGAAGTAGGGAGCCCTAGTGGGAGAGGTGCCTCCTGCGGGTCGGACGCGCGCCTCCGAGGAGGACGCGCCGTACTATCAGGGGCAACGATCGGGGAGGATAGGCACAGGAGGGGATGTATCGACCCCTCATCGCCCATTGATCGCCGATAGGGGCCCGATAGCCCCACCCCGCCCAGGAAGGTGCGGATTCACTATCGGGGGCCCATCGCCAATCTATCGACGAGGTTCGCCGATTCCAGGTCGATGCATCCCCCCCTTAAGCCTACGGAGTGACCGAGGCAGCCAATGGCTTGCTCGGTGTTGTGAGGATTGGATGTGCCCCAGTGCACGTCTTGCCAGAAGCGCGGCGCATGTGTGGCATTCCTTTTTCTGATCTACATGCTCTCGTGTGACGGCTTCTACACCAGAGGTGCACACTTTCAGTGGAGAGAAAGGGGAGGGAGGAGGCGATCAGCATCGTTTCACCGATAACTATCCCCGCCCCCATCCCGATCCCCACGATTCCACCACCCCAGCTGGGGATATGCCCCTCGAAACTCGGAGGGAACCGCCTATGTCCCCATCTGTGGTGCTAATCGGCCAGTGAGGCCTAGGCCACGCCCGTAGGGATAGGGATCGGTTGAACGATACTCAGACGGGAAGAAGTTGGAGATGGGAGAGGAAGAAGGCAGGAGAGTGGATGGAGGTGGGGCTGGAATGGGGGCGAGAAGGGGGCAGAAGGGGGGGACGGCTGAGGGGAGGAAGTCAGGGGAGCAATGGGCCGGGGGGGAAAAGCGGTGGGAGAAGAGAAGGCAGGGGAGGAAGGGGGGGGACTGAGGGGGGGCGGGTGCAGGAGCCTCTCTACTACCGGGGCCCTGGCAACCCAAGGTGCTATGGCACGGCGCCCTACATGTCGCCGGAGATGGTGCGCAACGAGGGTCACTCTCTGAGCACAGGCCAGCAGGAGGAGAAGAAGCACGAGGAGGAGGAGGAGGAGGAGGAGGAGGAGGAGGAGGAGAGGAGGAGAGGAGGAGGAGGAGGAGGAGAGGAGAGAGGAGGAGGAGGAGGAGAGGAGGAGGAGGAAGGAAGAGAGGAGGAGAGAGGAGGAGGAAAGGAGGGAGGGGGAGGAGGAGGAGGAGAACAACAGGAGGAGGAGAAACCAGGAAGAGGAGGATGAGGAGGAGGCGGAGGCGGAGGAGGAGGCGGAGGAGGAGGAGGAGGAAGAGGAGAGGAGGAGGAGGAGGAAGAGAAGGTGGAGGGAGACCAGACACAGTGGGCACGTCGCAATGCTGGCAGAAAGCTGAACAGGTATTTGCCATCGCTGTCTCCAAGCAGTGGGCTCTCGCGTTCTGGATGTGCCATCAATATTTGGTGCAATCCGCGTGCGGTGCAGCACGTGAGGTGGCGCAGTCTGCGTCGGTGCAGCCTGTCGGGGGCGGTTTCCACAGTGCAGTGTCCGACGGGAGGGTAGCTGCTGGAAGGGTTCGGGCCGGAGGAGGGGGAGCAGGATGACAATGGGGAGTAGGAGGACGGGGAGGAGTAGGAGGAGAAGGAGGAGGAGGAGGAGGAGAAACACGAGGAGGAGGAGGAGGTGGATGAGGAGAAACACGAGGAGGAGGAGGGGGAGGAGGAGGAGGAGGAGGAGGAGGAGGAGGAGGAGCAGGTGGTGAGCGAAGAAGCGGAGGAGGCTCCTGGCGGCAAGGCCTCGGGCGTTTTGGTGCCAGCGCTGGCGGGCCCGCTCCGTGGGTCGGGGTGCCGGAGAGCGGCACCGGGGCAGCTCCGACGTCGGATCCGCCGTGCTCTGGCCGAGTCGGTAGTCCTCCAAACGATGCGAAACGTCAGTATCGTTGAACCGACCGATCCTCCTCCTCCCCCTCCTCCTCCTCCTCCTCCTCCTCCTTCTTCTCCGCCTCCTCGTCCTCCTCCTCGTCCTCCTTCTTCTCCGCCGTGTCGGACAGGTCCCCCAAACGATGCGAAACGTCAGTATCGTTGAACCGACCCCCCGTCCCCATCCCCATCGCCTTCGAGACCCCCGACCAAATTGCCCCCCAGTTGGGGATACACCCCTCGAAACCCGAGGGGGACGGCCTATACCTCCATCCATCTAGGGGGGTAAAGCGGCCAGTGGGGCCCAGGCCACGCCGCTTGGGATGGGAGTCGGATAAAGGATGCCCATAATCAGGATTGTGTCGGACACGTCCCCCAAACGATGCGAAAAAGCAGGGCGGACGTTTCCACATCAGGAAGTTGGGGACGGGTGCTTCCGCAGAGGCACGGCGGGGGCCAGCGGCGACGCAGCAGGGCGGGAATCGACGTCGAGGGAGCTTGAAGAGTGAGGCGGACATGTCCGCCCTTCTTGCGAAAGCGCCCTCAGATGCTGCGGACCTGGCGTCAGGGAGCGGCGAAGCACACGAGAAGCGAGCGGCACCCCGCCGAGGGCGCCGTGGTCCCCAGACCTCCTCCGAGCACACTCGCGTCGGGCTGGCGTTCGGACGTTCTCGTCGGTTCCCAGCGGCTTTCCAGCCTCCTGCCCTCCAGCACGTGCGCCTCGCCGCAAGCGTTTTGGGGATGCCCGGATCATCCCGAGCGGCCATCGGAGCCGAAAGCCACACCGGTCGCTGGACCACGTCGGATGGCTTTCGGCAATGCTCGGCCTCCAGAGGGGGACCCTCCCCCTGGCCCGGGGGACCGTCAGAGAACGACCCGTGGAATGAGAAGCGGGCTGCGGGGCTGGGGTCCGTGGAAGCAATTTGGGGGGCGCGCAACGGGGGGGGCGAGAAAACTGGAGGAGGCAGCGGGGGCCTCAGGGCCCTTTTGGGCCCTGAGAGCCCCTACAGGGGCGCCAGGGCTTCAGGGCAGCGAGAAAACTGGCCTCCTTCGGGCCCGAGAAGGGCACCTGTCTTCCTCCTGTCCATCGCCCCCCCCCCTTTGAGCAACGCCCGACGCACCTTCGACGTCGGATCCCCGCGCCGCCGGCCCGCCAGCGGGGTGCGCCGCAGAAGTCTCTTGTCCCACGGTGGCTTAGGGAGCCCAGAGAAGCTATGGGGCACCTCAGGGAGTCCAGGGATCAGCGAGGAGCGTGCCTGGGCACGCACTTCGTTGATCCCTGGGGCATGCCCCCAGACGTCTTGTAGCAGAATTGTGCATCGCACGTGTCTACTGTGCTTCTTCCGCCTCCAGCTCCCCTCCGCAGACGTGTGGTCGCTCGGGGCGACGGCGTACGTCCTGCTGTACGGGGACTTCCCGTACCAGCCGGCCGTTCTGAATACTTGCGAGATGAAGGCCAGTCTCGCGGAACCAGCAAACATGAATGACAAAATAAGACGGCAGCCCAGGGCCCAGGGGGAAGAGCAGGAGGTCGTAAAGAAGGATAAGGAGGAGGTGGACGAACCGACGATGTGGAGGAGCAGAGAGAGCAAATGAGAGCAAGAGGAGGAGCCCTTTCGAACATGACCCCGTGCCCACCAACGGGGCGGGCGAATCTTAGACGAGCCTCTTTTCATCCCGCCGCACCTTCTAGCCGCCGCAGTCGGGTAGGCCATGGGATTGAGCGCTGATCAGCTTACGTAACAGATGCGTCAAGGCGGAGGATGAGGCTAATTCTTGGCGCTCCAGGCCGTCCAGAGGGGGACAAAGAGGCTGTGAAGTACGAGGAGGAGGAGGTGCAGGAGGTGGAGGAGCATAGAGGAAGAGAAGGCGGAGGATGAGCCGAATTATTGACGCTCCAGCCCATCCATAGGGGGGACGAGGAGGTCGCGAAGGAGGACGCGGAGGAGGCGGGAACGGTGGAGGAGCAGAGAGCGAGAGGACGAGGAGAAGGCGGAGGAGGAGGCCAAGTATCGACGCTCCAGCCTGTCTCGAGACTCTCCGTGAGCGAGCGCTCGAGCAACGGGGAGCGGAGAGGAGCGCTGGCAGCAGCAGGTCCTCCTTTTCCTCCTCCTCCTCCTTTTCCTCCTCCTCCTCCCCCTCCTCCTCCTCCTCCCCCGCCTCCTCCTCCTCCTCCTCCTCCTCCTCCTCCTCCTCCTCCTCCATTCCTTTTCCTTCGAAGTATTTTTTCCCTGTCGCACCCCGTTCGCGGTGTTGAAGTCCCCAAAATGGCGTTCTGGCACGATTCCGGATCGTCAAGACGCAGCGATCAGGTTGAGCCGTTGCGTTGAAATCCCGAGTGCAATCTTTTGGCATGCTTCAGGGTCTTCTAGGGTGTCTTCCAACCAGGCAGTTCCCTCAATGGAAATGAACCGTTGCAGGGACATGAAGAGGGGACTTGGAGGGAGAGTGAATTCCAACATCGTTGATGACTCTTTGGTTTACACTGGTCCTCCTCCTCCTCCCCCTCCTCCTCCTCCTCCTCCTCCTCCTCCTGCAGGCATCCCTCTGCCACACCGAATCATCTAGCCAGCAGCGAATAGCTCGAGTTCAAGGCGAGCAGCCTCGTTTCAGCCGTCGGAACAGAGGTGAACCGAACTGCCAAGGCTTCTCCACTACCTCCTCCCCCTCCTCCCTCCTTCCTCCTCCTCCTCCACCCCTGCCTCCTCCCTCCTCCTTCTCCTCCCCCCCTCCACCCCTCCCCTTCTCCTCCTCCTCCCTCCTCCTCCCCTCCTCCTCCTCCTCCTCCCCTCCTGCATCACCCTCTCCTCCTCCTCCGCCTCCTCGCTCCTCCTCCTCCTCCCTGCTCCTTTCCTCCTGCTTCCTCCTCCTCTCCTCCTCCTCCTCCTCCTCCTCCTTCCCCCTCCTCCTCCTCCTGCCTCCCCTCCCTCCGCCCTCCTCCTCCTCCTCTTCCTCCTCCTCCTTGCCTACCTCTCCTCCTCCTCCTCCTCCTCCTCCTCTTCCGCCTCCTCCGCCTCCTCCTCCTCCTCCGCCTTCGTCCCCCTCCTCCTCCGTATCCTCTCCTCCTCCGCCTCCTAGCCTCCTCCTCCTCCTCCTCCTCCTTCCGCCCTCCTCCCTCCTCCTCCCCTCCGGCCTACCCCCCCCCTCCTCCTCCTCGACTTCCTCCTCCTCCTCCCCCCTCCTCCTCCTCCTCCGCCTCCTCTCCTACCTCCTCCTCCTCCTCCTCCTCCTCCGGACCTCCCGCCCCCTCCCCCCCCCTCCGCCTCCTCCCTCCTCCTCCTCTTCTTGCCTCCTCGCTGCTTCCTCCTCCGTCTCCCTTAACGCCGCCCCTCCTTCTCCTCCTCCTCCTCCTCCTCCTCCTCCTCCTCCTCCGCGTAACGACGGTGGGGCCAGGCCGAGCAGCCATCGGCCGTGGCCAGCTCGGGATCTCCGGCCGCAGGGCGGCCAGCCGAGGCAGCGGCGGCCTTCCTGGGCGCCCGTGGGCCTTCCCCGGGGTCCCCGGGGCGGGCCTCCCGGAGGCTGCTCGAGGCCACGGCCGAAGCCCCCTCGAAGGACGGGTCGGGATGGACCCCAGGAGGGGTCTGGGGATGGACTCCGACAGGATTTGGGCCGGGCAGGGGGGCGGAGGAGGTGGAGGAGGAGGAGGCGGAGGAGGAGGAGGAGGAGGAAGAAATTGAAGGAGGAGGAGGAGGAGGAGGAGGAGGAGGAGGGGGAGGAGGAGGGGAGGAGGAGGAGGAAGGACACAACAACGACGAAGATGGGAGAGGGACGGCAAGTAGAAAGAGGGAGAGGGCCGATGGGAAGTCAGCAGAGGGTGCAAACTATGCAGGAGGATAATTCTAGACGCTTCGCGTATCCCCACCAGCCCGTCCAGAAATGAGCCCCAGAGGAGTGGAGGTGATGAGGGAAGCGGGGGAGCATGCAGAAGAACAAAGAGCGGGTTAAGCCGCCATACGTTCCAAGAGGGGGAGGATGTAGGAGGAGTCGTCGTCGTCGGA